TGCCTAAGCATTTGTGTCCAATGAAATCCTTTCTGCACATCTTTAACCCTCCCTTTAGTAATCACAATAAAAAAAACTGACCAATCAGTGCTTCTCCTGTAATCTTGAGACAAGCAGTATAGTATAGCAAGAATCAAGGAGCTGGCTCAGGACCGGGCAGTGTTTTCCTTCTATTGTGCATAGGGTCACTATGAATCGGAGATGACTCGACGGCACCTAACAACAACAACAACAACAACATCACCAACACGGGGAAAATTCCGCCATCTAGTCCCTTCTCCTTGCAGCACTCTGGGCTTTCTGTTCAAACTGAGCATGCCCGAATGGCATGTGCAGATAAGCACAACCCCAGCATGGCCTTTTCAGGGGCTTCAATCAGCACCATGGCTCCTTCTCAGAACATCAAGACAAAACTCTTACCCATAAAAATCTCAGCCACTTTTGTTCAAGAAGCCATCTTAGTGAGGCAGGTCCTGATGAGCCCTTTATTTGGCCAAATAAGTAAAGCTGCTTGTTTCACCTCACCAAATCTGAGTCTCTATAGCTGTGGGACCTGGCAGTCTCCAGTTACAGTCGTTTTGTTTCTTGCCCTGTCTCCATCTTTGCTTGAGAGCCACTCTTTCACTTACATGAGCCAGTGGTTTCCCATTTGAATGCCTCCCTAATGCTCAATCAATCCTCTGAATCTTCATTTAAGTTCTGAGTGGTTTTTCCCCTATGACAGTGAGTAGAAAGATTATGAAATATTTAGAAAGTGAATTTCACCAAGATTTGAAGATGTAAACTCAGATGCATTGAACTAATGGAATATCCATCCCAGGATGCAGTGCTATTAAGTTTCTCCCTGTCTCTCCATGCACCTATGAAGGATAATTACATACCACTCTTCTTCCCTGAAAAACTGCTCTTTCTTCAAGATTATAGAAAAGTAGAGAAAACAGGCATCTGTAGGGTTCTGACTTCTCCAGGATTGCTGCCTGCACAGCAGAGGAAAGTTGCCCAGTTTTCTAGTGCATTTGTTTTTGTTTTTTCCCCAAAAACTAGAACTTAGAGTCAAGGGGGAGCTAGTATATGAAATTTTATCAAGCCTTCTGTTTTATGAGATGAAGCTTGTGGAAGGGATAAGAAAAAGGTTGCATCATCTTTTTCTCAGTTCAGTTTCATCTGCCTTTTAGTAAGAGTTCTTCAAAATTCTGGCACTATGCATTCTACCAACTTACTTATTTATCAATGCTTTGTCAATATTTGTGTGTGTTTGTCTTTGCTTTACTTACTCCCCATATCCTCAGAGATATTACAGAAAGAAGGTGGGAGATACAATATAGGCTTCTGATAAACCAATTCAGTTTTAAATTTAAACTTCTCCTAGCATTTAATTTAATTGAGATTGAGCTAGATTTTCATTCAAATAGTGAGAAGAGGACCCACATAAATCATTTAGTTTTGTTTCTTTGCCTTCAGGCAACTGAGTGTCTGAAACCAATAAGAGAATACTCAATCTTGTTCTTTCAGTATTCAATAAAGCGATAAGCAAGGATCAGTAAGCAGGTTCGCTTAATGACAACAATTAACTATTTGTAAACTTGACTGTTTTGTTGCCAATGATTACTGACTCCATGTGCCTTTTCTTCAATGCAGTGTTTGTTGATAAATTTCCTGTGATTCATTTATAGAATGACACATTGTTGTCCATTCCCCTACCCTACAAAATAAATAACAGTCATCTTAATAGAGTTCACAGTACACATGTCATCAGGTCTTTGTACTGTTTTGTGGCTTTAGTTTCACTTTATAGAAAATTCATTCCTTGGTTCATTCATGTAATGGACCAGATGTCCATTTCTACTAAATGCAGGATTTATATTGATTGAGTGACTATTATGTGCTAATCACTGTTTTCAGGAACTTGGGCTAAAGCGGTGAACAAAACAAACACAAACTCTGCTCTTAAGCATGTTGCCTTTGTGGATAGCTATTTACATTTTTCTGGATAATATGTACCTTAGAATTATTTCATCTGAATGACAGGGAGCTGGAATAGTTACACCTCAGTTCTCATTAGACATCCATGAGTATTGCTCCCGAGGGAGAAAGTAAATCTCCAGTGCTTCTGGGCTTCTGAACGCACAGGCAGAGAAGGTTCAGCTAGCAGAGAAATCCCTCAGGAAAACAGATGCATATGTACCCGTTGGAACTTGAGCAAATGTGCCCTCACAATGGCATGTCCTAAGAGAATATGGGTGGGAAGTGAATGCATGTTCTGCAATCTGCCTCTGCACTACTCAAATTAGTGTGTACTTAAATTCATGCCATCCTTTTTCTGGACTTTCCGAGTGGTTTCTGGGCACATTTTCTTTTCAACAAATGACAGCAGCAGGATGAGTGAAATGATACAGTCCCCAGTGCCTCAGTTGGTCTTGAGCACTCAATGAATATTTATGATATCCTTTATTTACCATCCAGTCTAGGTTCTCTTCACTATAAACCATAATTTCTGCTCATCTAGGATGCTTGTACCAAAAAAAGAAAAAAAAAGAAAAGAAAAAAATACCAAACAACCCTCAAACTCATTGTCATCAAGTCAAATACAACTCATAAGGGCCCCCATTGGGTTTCTGAGGCAGTATATTTTTATGGAAGTAGAGTCCTTCTGCAGTGCAGCTGGAGAGTTTGAACCACCAACATTCTACCAGAGCTCCTTTGGATGCTTGTACAGGGAGGTTAAACCAAAAAAACAAACTCACTGCCATCCAGTTGATTCTGACTCATAGCAACCCCCATTGGGTTCCTAAGGTGGTAAATCTTTATGAAAGTAGATTGCCCAGTCTTCCTTCCATGGAGTGGCTGGTGGGTTTGAACCACCAATCTTTTGGTTAGCAATCAAATGTCTTAGACACTTATGCCATAGTAGATTTTAATCCATGGGTTGCCTGAGTTCATGGCGACGATGCTCTTTTAAACTGGTGGTTGTCTCAATTGCAGATTCATGGTAATCATCAGGAATAGAAGCATCAAGATGTACCATATTGAATTCCCTGAATACCAGACGTGCCTCTATCTTATCCCATAATATACAAGCAACCTTATCTCCTAATGATAATTGGGTGAAATACATCTGCCAATATCTCACCTACTTCATTGGCCTTTTGATATACCAACATAAGAATCACAAAATGGTCAGTTGGCAGTCCCAACTTTAGGCTTTGGTGAGCCAAAGTCTTGGTTCTTACTCCAGTTATGGAGAGGCTGTGGTGTGTGCCAGGAAGACTTCTGGCAATAAACAAAATAACAGTTTAAGTCTAAAAGTTTAGGAATAGGAATATCAGAGGTAGGAAGTATAAATTTCCTGTAGGTCCTTTACATTTCCATCACTTCCATCCCTTGGTTCCTAGATTCATTTGATTTATTCTACCTATGAAGTATCTTGGGAGCTTTGGTAGCATAGTGGCTAAGGCACTTGACTGCTAACCAGAAGGCTGGCAGTTCAAACCCACCAGCCACTCCTCAGAAGGAAGATGGGGCAATCTACTTCCGTAGTGATACTGCCTCGGAAACCCAAGGAGGGGTTGCTATGAGTCGGGTGCGACTCGACGGCACATAACAACAACAACAAAATGAAATATCTTGGTTATTGATCCTAAGTGGTTGTTTGTTGTTGTTACCATTACATTGGTTCCAGAATAAATCACATATTTAATGACTCCCTAATATTTCCAGGAGTCCAAGCTCAAATTTTAGAGCATATTTAAAGACTCTTGCTATGTTCTAAAAAGTTACATCTACTGGA